CACCCTGGGCCTCCTCCAGGCTGCTCATGGCCATCAGGGCACGACTGCCTGCACCTGAATGGGCTTGCTCCAGGTGCAGGTGGGATTTTGCAAGGCTGCCAGACCCTCATGGTGTGGATCATGCCACCATGTGCTTGCTGGGAGGCCCAGTGGGATGCCCCATCCTGCCCAGTGCCCCCGGGCAGGGGGAGCAGGGTCCTGCACAGGCAGCGGTGCTCATTTTGGGGCACTTCCACTGCTGTTGCACTTGCCCAATGCAGCAGCACAAAAGCACAGTGCCCATCAGCACATCCCCCATCACCACATCCCGCCAGTGTGACACATTAGGAAAACTTTCCAGGTAAACAGAGAAAACACAGAGAGCATGGCTGGGATTTTTAGGATATTTTAGCCCAGCTTCTCGCTGGTAAAAGCAATTCCCCCAGGAAGGGAGAGGAATAAACCAAGCAATCTCCTGGGGGCTCTTCCAGTCCTGTTTTCTATGATCTACGATTCTCAACGATCGTTCTTCATCAGATTTGCGTGCAGGCACTCGCAGAGAGATAACAGAGGCTCTCCCTCCTGCCAGAACAGCAAAGCCTTTGTCTGCTCCAGAGGGACGCAATTCCACATCCATAAGCAAAGCCAGGAGATGGAGTGGCTGCATTCAGCCCGGTGCAATCAAATCATCAAGCTCTAAATAAATAATCAGATGAGTAACGGGAGCACTGCCTATGCCCGCCGCTCTCCCCGCCTGCTCGGGAAGTGCCGGGCAAACACCAATGAGGGAAACTGAGGCCCAATGCGTGAGGACCATGAGCATGGTGGAAGGGAAGGAGCCCTGGTGATGGATTCCCAATATCTGTTTGCAACTCATCTGAGTGCCTGTTACATGAGAAAAAGGGTTTGTTTCACAAAATGACCCTGGCAGTCCCTCTCTCCAGGCTGTGGGCTTGCACCATCCCCCTCCCTAGCTGGGCTCTCTCCCCAGCTGGGGCAGTGCCCAGCCAGGGGACTTTGCACCTGCTCACCAGGGATCTTCTCCTCTCCAGACTGTCCCGATGCGGCCTCCTGTGCTGCTGGGGTCTTCACTCACAGGGACAAGGACGGACGTGCTTGCTGAAGGAGAACTGCTGTGGGTGCCACCCCTGCTCTAGTCCATGCGTGGCCACGCTCAGCAGCAGTGTGGGTGGTGGCAGGGAAACCCTCCGGGCCACAGAGATGTCCTTCAATCCACTTCTGGGGAGCTTTGGTTGCATGGAGGACATCAGATGAACACAGATTTCTTATTAAAATGAATTTGCAAGGCCAGAATAGCTCCATCCCCTGCTTACACCTCTCCTTTCTCCTCCTGGCCCCTTTCTGTTAGCTCTCTCTGCAGCTCCTGCTTGTTTTGCATTGCATTGCTTATCATGGTGACAAACGAGCCAGAGCCTCCCTGAGACCCCTCCGTGCCGGGCGTCCCTGTCACAGCTGGCTGCGGGCAGGGGCTGGCTGGGCCGTGGGAAAGGCAAGGGACGGCTCTGGGAGAGCCCAGCGAGCCCCCAGCCCCGGAGGGGAGATCACAGCCACTCCCCGTCACACTCAGGAGTTGGGCGAGCACGAAGTGCCCTGTGCACAGAGCCTCATTGATGGGGAAAGGTTGCCCGAGGCCGGGAGGGTGACAGCTACAAGGGGCTTTTGTCCTGGCTGTGATGGGGATGGGGACGTGCCATCGGTGCTGCCAGGTCTTTCTGTGCACCAGTGTGGGATGCCGGGGCTGTCCCGCTCTGGGACCACGTCTCAGCCAGCAGCATCACGCTCCCGGGCTGCCATCAGCCCCTGGGAAAAGGGTGCTGGGGAGGGGGACACCCAGACACGGTGGGGGGAAGGAGCTGGGGAAGCTATTGGGCAATTTGGGGAGCGGGGGGTACGGAGGCAAGCGGGATAAACCAGCCAGGAGCAGGTTTGGGCTGGAAATCCAGAGGGGATTATCACGGGCAGCGCAGGGGGCTGGGGGGGGAGCTTTGCAAAGCTGCAGGCACATCATGAGCCATTTGGCTGCTGCTGTTTTGGATGGAAACCAATCCTGCATTAACTGGGGAGAGGTGGTGCTCCCACGTCCTGGCCACCAAACCAGGAGGATGGTTGGGGCCCCAAACTCAGGTGTTACCTCTGTCCCTGTGATGTCCCCTTTGCCCTATGCTGCCAGCATGGCTTTAATTGGGGTCCTCACACTTGGTGGTGTTGGGTATCTGAGAGCACGGAGGACTCCTGGCCAGCACTGGTGGTGACACCTCTAGTTTTTTTGCAGAAGCAGCTGCCCAGGGTGTCAAATTTGGAACAGAAAGGGAGGGCCCTGTGTGTCAGGGAAGAGGCGGTTTAACAGGGGATGTCAGTGAGCAAAATCCTGCAGGGCAGGGAGAGACTGGATGCCAAAACCTAATGGAGAAAACAAGAGGCTGAGACACGCTGGAGCATGCTTGGAGGCTGAGGAGAGCTGGCGCTCAGTGAGCATGGGAGGCTTTCCTCGCTCCGAGGGGGATGACCGACTTGAGTGGCTCACTGCTGGCGGCAGCCTCAGATGCAGCTGCAAACGCGTCCAGGAACAAGCTGGGAAAGGGCTTTTGTAAGCCTTCAAGTCATGTTAATCGCCCTGGCTGTGAGCCCCTGGACGACACCCCGTGGGGCCGGGGGTGCTGAGGAGCCCCTTGGCTCGGGGGAGCGGAGCTGCTCCCGCAGTGCCAGTCCTGCATCCCAAGGGATGCATGCAGGCGAGTGCTGCACCCGGGGATGCTCGGGCAGCTTCGGACCGGAGCCGGAGCTGGAAACCCTCCCTGGGGTGAGTGCAGCAGTGGCCCATATTGCTGCTGGACTCTGGGACCAGGTCCAACTCCTTGTTTGAGTGCACCACCAACAGCTACCCAGAAAAGCCTTTTTTCCTGCAAATCGCAGGGTGCCGGAGGCTCTGGCAGAGCGAGGAGATGCCCATCCTGCAGGCGAGGGGCTGGATGCTGCTGGGTGCTGCGGGCTCCCTGCCAGGCACGAGTGGGCTGCAGTGTTCACCTGTTTCAGCAAAATCTGGGCCGCCAGGAAGATTAATTATATCTTTAAGTTTCTTCAGTTGTCAAATCTTGTAACTATCATCTCAAGCTGACAGTTATATACCTAGCAATTAACTGGCAGCAAGGCTTTGCAGGCAGCAGGGGGGTCTGGCCTTGTTTCCCGCCTATGTACACAACACGCTCTCAAAATGTTGCCTTAATGGAGCTTAACAGTGCTGGCAAATATTTCACTCAGAAATCTCGCATTTGCCAACATGTTGCACCAACTAACACCGAATCAATCAGGGCTCCGATAACGAAGGCTCTTCGTTAGGAGGCATGCGCAGATTTGTGCCTTCTTCCCTCCCCAGACACCCTCTTAGGCATCCACGGGCTGGTGCAAACCAGGAGGAAAAGCCGCTTGATCACCATCCTTTTCCATTGCTGTTGCTTCCTCTGATGCTCAGCAGCAGGTACAGACCTGTCCCAGTGAGCGTGGGAAGCAGGACATTGGTCAGGAAAGCCTTTCACTGACGGGACTGTCCTGTTGGCCCCTGCAAAAAATCCCGCAGGTGGATTCAGCAGCAAGAGGGGTTTGCTGTGCGGTGCGATGCTGTCACAGGAATAGCCGGTACCCTCCTTAGGATGGATTCCCCTTGGGAGGTAGCGCTACCAAAAAAAGCGCTCCTGGATTACCCACTGCCCTCAACTTCAATTTTTTGCCTTGAATGACCACGTTTTAAGATCTCTCCCTGCACCACAGTGTGTTTTACACAGGCTGGGGTGGGTGGCCCCTATGCCAGGCTCCCAGGGCAGAATTCACCTTGCTTCTGCAGCAAGATTTCACATTGGCTTTGCCATACGCTGGCTCTGACCCATGCCAGGACAAACACCGGCTGCTCTGTGATAGCCACCCCCTGTGTGATGCTGAAAGGGAATTTCCTTTGCGTTGGTACGGCACAAGAGGCAGGCAGGGGTTATTTGGCCATCCAGCAGTCAGTAGCATCAGGGCTCTTGGGGAGGAACCAAAGTTTTCTGGAGGTGCAGGTGACCAAAGGACTCCTATTTTCATGCTCTTGGCTGCTGAGCTCACCTTCTGCGAGGACCAAGGGTGGAGGTCTCGTGTCACTGAGGTTGGCAGCAAAAGACGTGTCAGTCCCAGGGGAGTCAGCGCCTCTTGCTGAGGCCATCTTTAAAAGGTTACCAAAACCTCCGTGCCCACGGTTTCAGACTCTGGGAGGGACGCCAGTACAGAGCTCACAGCGGTGGACACTTGGGCATGCTGGAAAGGAGGAAAACGCAGAGAAGAGAAATCGTTCTCCTTCCCTCCAGCTGCTGGTGGCTGAAGCACTCAGGTGAGTGCTGCGAGCAACGGGTGGGTTAGACGACATGTGAAGATCAAAGGAGGATCTCCAGGGCACCCGGCGAATGTGTCTCATCACATCGCCCACGGACATCCAGAAACACCGCCTGGAAGCATCTACATGAGCTACATCTATACTTGCCAAGTGGAGATACCTATAACACAGGTCTATGGTAGCCCCCCGAGCACGGGTGGGAGTGTGGAAAATATTTGTTGGGAATATCGCTATGTTTGGGGATGGTTTGTACCTTCAAGAATTCAGCTAGAAATAATTGACAGGATGATTTGCAGCCATCGCCAAACAACATTACTTTCCCGAAAGCAGCAGCACCAGAGGGAAAACAAATTGAAGCAGGTGTGGGAAGAGTTAGGAAGTGCAAGAATTGCATTCCTGAGCCAAATGGACAGATTGAGACAGAGGAAAACAAATTGGGAAGGGAAATGGCTGCCTATTGCCCAGATTTTTCAGGCACTGGGAGGAGGTGGAGGTTGGGTTCAGGCTCTGTTTCGGGGCCTGGGAGCGGTGTGTCCATTTGAGCAGCTGTGTTAGTGCTCAACCTGGGGTGAGGGTGGGTTTTTGGGGTGTGTTTCCACCCTGAGCGGGGCTGGGTATCACAGGTTTGGGGAGCAGCATCCTACAGAAGCACGAGCCCCACCACCGCGATGACCATGAGGAGCCCGGCCAGGATGCAGATGCTGATAAAGACGATGTCGCTGGTGTCCTGGCTCTTGATTTCGCGGGCGTCCATTGCTCCCCTGTCCTGCTGTTGGGCATCTACCAGGTTTTCTGCCTGGCTGAGCCTGGACGGGTCAGGGCCAGCGATGAGGGTCACCGAGGCTTCCTTCCTCTTTGGCTCACACTGCACCTCGTACTGGTGGATGTCCTCCTGGTTGCCCACCGAAAAATCGATGTAGAGGGTGCTGACAATGACAGATGTGTTGTTGCGTTTCTGCAAAACAAGGGTTGTGGCTCATCGGGGATTTGTGCAGCTCATTTTCACAGGGGTTTGGAGGGCAGCTGGCCATGAATCAGACCAGCATCTACTGAGAAGATGGGAGAGGGACTGGGAACTCCTCTCTGCAGCCGGTACGACCGGCACAGGGCTAACCATCTACTCAGCTTGCTTTAAACGCAGGTTTGCCGACTGCTTACCTGGGATTCGGTGCTGCAGGTGTCGAACCTGGTGTGTATTTTAAAGTTCCCGCCAACCACCTGGGCTGCACAGGAGGGGGTCCCCAAATAAATCCTATTCCTCTCCAGCTGGGCCAGGGACTGCACAGGGATCTGGATGTGGAATTCCGTCCGGGTGCAGCTGACGTTCATGGGCACAACTGTTGGGACAGAAAACAAGGTACATGTGAAGGTCCATGGGGAGGGGATTTCCCCAGGCTGCAGTGACTGCAGTAGCTCAGTGCAGAGCCACAGCCGTTTTCAAAGCTTGCTGTCCCCATCACACATGAAGCAGGCGACCGACAGCAGCAGGAGTAGCAGGGACATTGGCCTCATGAGTTTGCCATGCATCTCGCAGTACCTGGCGTTGCTGCCACAGGACTCACGTGATGAGATGAGTTTTCTGGCAAAAAGAAGCTACACATGAAATGCAGAAAGCATTATTTTATATATCAATATCTTAGCCCTCCCCCATGTCGAGGTCAGATGTGGTTGGCTCCCAGGCACTGTCCTGCTTTCTGCCCTGGGGAGAGACACCACCACTAACCCTCTCAAACCCTGTCCTCCTTCCCAGCTCTCCGAGTGACAACCGAGTGCCACTGCAGGCAACACCATCATGCTGTCACTGCCATTAGCAAGGAAGGATTTACCCTGTGAGAGCAGCCGCTCTCCATCATTGCAAAGCCAACGAAACATTTGAGTTTCTGCCCAGGATTAGACCATGAGAGCTTTGCTGATGGCTTGCCATAGGCACAGAGCTCCCCTACACACTACAACACCCCTGCGAGAGAGACTCTTACAGTGATGAAAGGGAGGAGATGCATCTTGGGGGGATCCCATGCCTGCCTGCCCTGGAGTGATGCAGCTGCGCAGCTGCCACCTGGTCCCTGGGGAAGGGTGAGCTGGCTGCCCGGCCCCGGGGCATCTTCCTGGGGATGGCCCAGCCCAGGTCCTGTCCCAAGATCATCAGCCCTCCACCACTCCCAGAATGTTATTTTTGATGGGGAGCTTGTGAACAGTGCATGGAGGGAGCTGCTGTTGAGCTGCCCATGATGCCAAGAAGAGGAGCAGGGCAATGGGGAACCCAGCCCCTCTCCATCACTCTCTCTCTGGCACTGTATTTGGCCCCCCTGGATCCAGAAAGCATCCACGCAGGGAAAGGAGCAGGGAAAAAAATGCCCCCCTCTTTAAAGTTAATCCTTGCTCAGCTTGAACCGCCCACTTGGGCAGTATGAATTATTGAATTATTCCAGCTCTCTCTGAATCTTGGCCTTATGAAACTGGTAAGACGCAATAAAATCAATACGAAAAAATAGTGTCACTTTGCTTCACTTAGTGCATTATAAAACCATTAGAAGATTTACCAAATAACTAAAGTGCATTAGATCAAGAGGAGGAGGAGCAGAAAATGGATCCTCTCTCCTGGCGTGAAGGCTTTCGTTCAAATGGCCATAAATCACACACGCCCAGCCCAAGTCACATGCTTTCGTGGGCTCGAAAGGAAAACATCTGCATGGCTGAAGAGCTGGGGTGTGGAGGCTGAGGTGCCCCTTTGCCACCGAGGGCTCCCGAGGAAGCTGGCGGCAGGGAGAGGCTGGTGCCTCCTGGTGAGAGCAGCCACTCTCCTGGCAGAGCGCTGGCGGTTGGATGTGCCACGCAGGCTGCTAACTGCAAGCAGATGCCCGAATCGTTGGGCGAACATAGCAGGCAGCCTTAGCTTTATGGAGGGAAGCTCGGTTTCGTGTCCAAGCTTTTGTCCTCCCCCAACATGCACCTGGCAGCATGTACCGGGGGATGCAGGAGCCTCGGGCAGCTGGGAGAAGCCACATCCCTCTCCGTGACGGGGCTTCCCCCGGCTCTTTAGCTAGCATCCCATCTATCTGTCTGCAAGCTCCTCCATTGGGTATGGGGTTTCCCCATGACCAGACATAGTGAGGCCAAGATTTCTCTCCCTGCACACTGCTGTTAAACACTAAGAAATAAGCAGGACAAGGACCAGGACAGACCTGCTGTGCACACTAAAGCCCTACTAGATGTCTGGTACAACCTCTCTCCCTCCAGACGCTGCAGAGGCTCAGGACAAAACCCCATCCCATCTCTTACTCCTAGAGCCACATACCCCCAAATCCCTTCTGCTACGCTGGAAATGAAGAACGATTTTGCTGCTGAGGGATAAAAGCTCATAAACCCAGGGCCAGCCACCCCCAGCTCCTGTGCCGCTGGCCCAGCAGCCTTGCTCCATCTCCAGCCCGCCGGCGAGGCTGCCCCTGTCTGAATCATCCCTGACACACAGGTCAGCTCAGATGTAATTATCTTGAAATACAACGAACGCCATAAATTTGCTAGCTTTTGAGGTACAAGGTTGGCAAATACATCAGAAAGGTTACACACCGCTCCTCCCACCAGCTGCGGATGCACCGGCTGGGACACAGGGCATGCCAGCGGCGGGGAGGTGCCGGCCAGGGCTGGCTGGGCAGATTTGGGAGCACCATGCCCCGGGGGTCCTGCCCCTCCGGTGCTGCTGCCAGTGGAGGAGAGGACATGGTTTATGTCTGCCTGCTCAGCTGTGTGCCGGCAGGGCCAGAGCATCCTGGGGAGCAGGGAACAGGGTTGTGATGCTTGAGCTGGTCACCTCCCCTGGGGCTTTGGTCCCCTAAACCCCCCCTGGGTTTTCTCTCCTTCATGCCCTGAGAGAGGAGCAGGAGCATGGCAGCGGCAGCGACGCGGGGAGGAGAAGCTGGACAGCATCTCCTGAATACTAAACACCGCGTGGAGCACGTGCGTCTCGCACTCTGCAAGAGCTGGAGCTCACCCGCCACGTCTTCTCCACCCCATCCCTAAAGAGCCATGTGCACTGCTCCTGCAGACAGGTATCTTCACTGCACAGTCTTTCCAGAAATTACCTGGTCTCAGGCATGTCCTGATGGAAATAAAGCATTGAGGAGCACCCAAGTGAGACCTTACCTCCCACGTAGGTGATGGAGAAGCCCCTCTTGGCCGTGTTGCGGTCGGTGTGGAGGACCAGCAGCAGCTGGTTGCTGCGGGAGGTGATGGGCGCCAGGGTCTCCCGCCCGCACCACAGCCCCAGCAAGGACCCGTTCTCGGCACCACCATCGAAGGCGGCCAGGTGGTCATAGTCGCAGCCGCCTGTCAGGCTGCTCCGGCCCTCCAGCTCCATGTCCAAGAAGAAGACCTTGACCCGGTAGCGCAGGGGCAGCCGAATGCTCCACTGGCACTTGAGGTTGTTGGGGTAGAAGTTGGGGTACCGAGGGCTGGAGAGATTCCCTTTGATGGTGGTGAACACCTCCTGGCACTCGCCTGCTCGGGGAACGAAGGGAAAAGAAAAAATTAAAGCAAACCTGAAGCCCCCTGGGTGTGGATGAGCTGGCAGATGAGCAATCACTTGTTTTATTGCTAAAGCATGCTCTGCCCTCCACCTCACTGCTCCCCAGCCTTGCATTTGGCGGATGGACATCCATCAGTTTTGGGGGATGGCAATGCCCAAGGTTGCCAAAGCCCTACAAGGGCAGACGGGGAAAACCATATCCACAGGGAATGGCATAAGCAAGGAAGAAGGGCAGCTCATGCTCAAGAGAAAGACAACCCGGGGCCTGGGATAGCCACAATGATGCCATTTTCATTGTGTGGTGGTTTACACTTCACACGATCATCTCATGAGCTCTCCCCAAAGGGTTCCTCTTCACTATCATCTCCTCTTGCTGCTGCGGGAGGGACAGCATCACCACCACCACCTTGGGGACCCATCCCCACATCCTTCCCACCACCCCACCACCCTGAGACCCCCGCACCCGAGTAGAAATGGGCCTTGAAGCCCCTGCCGCCAATGTTGAAGTCCGACTTGAACAGGATGAGGAGGTGCGGGGCAGAGGAGACGGTGCGAGGTGGGCGGGCGCTGCCGCAGTAGCGTCCCAGGCGGGGGGCAGCAGCGGTGGGGCCATCGAAAAGGGCCACGTAGTCGAAGGTGCAGCCCTGGCCCCCCTCCACCTGGAAGTCGGTGAACACCAGTGTGAGGGGGCCACCAGCCCCCCCGATGCGCCAGCGGCACTCGGCTTCGTTGGGGTAGCTCTCGGGGTAGCGGGGGCTGGTGATCTCCCCGGACAGCCCTGTCAGCTGCCCACCACAGGCATCTGCGGGAAGGCACAGATGATGAGGATGGTGGGGGAGGACAGATGGATGGATGCTCCGCCACTGCCATCCCTCCCCACTACCTTTCTGGTAGGCAGCGGCGAAGCCGCGCTTGGCCACATGCCGGTCAGAGCGGAAGACGATGGCCATGACATGCCAGGCGGAGGAGAAGGGTGGCGGGGGGCTGTGGCCGCAGAAGGTGCCCAGGAGGTTGCCCTGATCCCGGGCAGCCCCGTTGTAGACCTGGAGGTAGTCGTAGGCACAGGCGGCATGGTACTCCAACTCGAAGTGGCTGAAGGAGAGCAGGATGGAGGAGCCCTCGGCCACCACGATCAGCCACGTGCACTCTGTCTCGTAGGGGTATGGCCCCGGGAAGTTGGGGCTGGAGAAATTGCCAGAGGGTGCTGAAAGCACCCCCCCGCATTTGATGCCTGGGGGACACAGAGGTGGATGTGATGTCCCCTTTCCAGGGGAAGCCTAAAAGGATGGAGACAGGGTGCACAGCACCAGCTCCATCCCACCACTGGCACTACCGAAACACCAGTGCCCTGCAGACCCCCACTGGGCTTGGTCACCCCTTCTCCCTGGAGGACACATGTTACCCCATCACCTGTCGTCCCTCCATGTAACCCCCTTCTCCCCCCGCCGCCCCTGTGCTGCCCCATGGCGTGGCTGCAGCAGGGCTTGGCCGTGTCTGTGAGTTTGTCCTGCCAGTGATGGCACGGTGTCCCCATCCATTTCTTGCTGGGAAAAAGAAAGTAGGGACTGAGTTTTAATTGTTCAGTGGTTCCAGCCTCGCCAGTGCCCCGGCTGCCCAGCCCTTCAGCTTTGTGCCTCCTGCTGATGACGCTCCCTCTATATAATGGTCGTATCGGTGAATTCAAGCTGGGAGAAATAGGGTTGAAGGGCTCGATGCACTTAACAATGAGTTATGCATGTAGGGATCGATTTTCTAATGAAATCTTTATACTGAGACATGGTTATTGTAAAATAAGGCAGAGAGGGGGAGCGGCTGCCACCTGCCCCTGGGTCTGATTAGGGTTGGGGTGAAGAGGCTGATACAGCGAGCACATACATCATGTCTGGGAGGGACGCAGACCCTGTGTACCCCCCAGGAGACATGTGTGGGTTCCCAAGCAAGGCTGAGCGCTCGCTGCCATCAATCTGGGCCAAGCATATTGCAAATCAATAGTCAGCCAGCGCGCATTGCTTTTCATCACGCTCACTGGTGCAGTGACCCCCCGGCGAGGGGGGGGGGTTCCTGTGGATGTGTGTGATGCAGCACCACAGCAAATGGGTAAGGGGGGGTGTGTATGTGTGTGTGTGTTGGCACAAGCAGCAAAGCTGGCCAGATCTAAAATTGCCTTGCTAATTACTGGGGATAGGCAATAAAGTAATATGGGGCTGGTACTAAAGGAATAATGTTATTGAAATAAATATCCAAGAGGGGAGCCTGCAGGAGGGGCGAGTAGCCACGGGGCAGGCAGATTGATGGATTAAGGGCTGGGTGCCTCGGGGTGCTCCGGGAAGCCCAGGTGGGTGCAGGCAGGGGGCTGAGCAGGCAGCACCAGGCAGCGGGGTGGCCGCTTGCCCCTCAGGAGCACCTGCACCGAGGCTGGGATGGGTTTTGATTTCTGACGCAGCCCTTTTGTGAGAAAGGCCCTGCTCTTTTCGGGGAGGGGTATTGCTCGTTAGCCGAGTTACTGGGCTGACCTGGCCCACCCTGCCCCCCAAATTACGGTGTTGTCTGCTAACCCTGCCCTACATCCTGGGGAGCATCTTATCCAGGTAAGGTGAGGGGTTTATTACATGCACAGAAATATACACATGCATACATACGTTGACATATATATATATGTGTGTGCATATATATATTTATATAGGCATGTGTGACTCCAGAAGTTAACAAAGGCTTCAGCAAAGCACCTGGACACCACAACAGGACAACCGTTACCTGCAATCTTCAGTAAAATAAGCATGAAGTGGAAACTCAAGCGCGTGGTGGTGTCCCGCACTTGCTGCCATGCATGGCGACTGCAGATCCCAGCTCCTTTCCCCAGGCCAAGCCGGGGGACCCCTGGCCTGAGCAAGCCGCTCTCCTTGCACGGGCTGAGAGCTGGGACCCGCTCACACCCCAGAGCCACTGCAGCACCCGCAAACAGCCCCCTCCTCCCCAGGGACCATGGATGTCCATCGGCCCCGGGGTCGCCACTGGGAGCTGGGACCGGGCTCTTACCTCTGCTGGGAGCATCCCCGAGAGCCCCACACAGCACCGCCAGCACCGCCAGGCAGCCCGCCCCCATGCACCCCATCCTCCAGCAGGCAAATCTCCCCTCACCGGCACCCAAGCATCCTTTTGAAGCTGTCTATCTGGTAGGAAAAAAAACAAATAAAGAGAGAAATAAATAAAAAGTGGGAGGACTGTAGAATTAATAGCAGAATGAATAATTCATTGCTTGTTTGAATTAAGAGCGGCAAGGTAACTTGATCTATTCCTCCCTTCCTTCACTCAGTTTTAATGATCTGGATCAAATGTCCCAAGGATTTACACTATACCAGATACTTTGTCAATACACTATATTTAGAAGAGATATTAACGTTTCAGATATGGTGTATAACAGCAGTAAGTCTGGGATGACAATATGCCCTTAAGGGTCTATGAAAATAATTTAGTTTGCCAGGCAAGCCAGTGAACCAAAATGGGAATTTCAGACTTACCGCGGAAAAGCACCTCAGGAATTAACGTGATTTATACTGCGGCACCCACTGCACAAAGCCAACCAGTGGTAAAGGCTAGAGAAACAAGGAACGGGATTTAAACACAGCTGCGTCTCCACGTCGGCTGCCAGGTCAGCATCCCTGCAGCGAGTGCCCAGGCTCAGCGGGATGCTCAGCCCGGGAAAGTGGCAGTTGCAAGCACTAAAGATAGCAAATCCCACCTCCCCCGAGGAAGATTAGAGATGAATTGTGACTCACAAGCAAAAAAACATCGATTATTATAGAACCTGCTAAGGCCTTGGAGAATTACCATGTTCTTCCACGCCGGCTCACGCTCCTTCTCGCCCAGGCTCCTGGATGCACTTAGCTGAAGGTAATCAAGCCTTTGCGCTCGGTGGGAAAGGTGTGCTCCTCATGCTGTGCCACATTAGCTGGAGAAACCCCAAACCCAGCAGTGTTTCAGTTCTTTCCCTCCTGCCCAGGAAAGAAAATACTTTCCTGCTGCCATAACCCACACCCAGATGAATGCCAGGAAAGAAAAACCCATGAGGGCCTCCCGGCATGAGGGACCTGTGCTAAAAAAGTCACCTTCAAAGCAGTGAGGAAAGAAGCAGCACGTATCTGTAAATCTCAGGCGGGAAGACAAGTTGCATTTATTAATTAAGCAATGAGGATCGATGCCTGAGACATTTCCTGTGGATTAATGATGGGCTGGGAGGAGCTGATGGCCTGAGGTGCGGCTAAGGACCATTAACACCAACTGGTCATTAATCCCCAGGAAATGCTCCATGCCAAGGTCGTTAAGTGCCTGCATATATTTATGGGTAATAATAACAACAATAATATTTGTACAGGCTCTCTCCCCACTGCCTGGCCTTGCTGGAGCCATGCCAAGGGCCAGTGGGAGCATTGGGACATCCCAGCCAGGAGCCCTCCGTCCTGAGCCCAGCTGAGGCGGGGGACATCAGGGTGTCTGTCCCAGGGCATTGGGCACCACATCACCCCACGAGCACCAGGAGTAAGTGCATGTTCGAACGAGGAGATGCAAGGCAGCCCTCCCTGTCCCAGGGTGCAGCGCAAAGCTCCTGCTCTGGTGCAGGCTCCGGGAGACAGCTCTGATGCTGGCACATCTCCTACTGACATCTCAGGGACACTGCAGAGCTTAATTAGCTGCTTCATTAACGGGCTTGGAGAGGAGGTCTGTCCCTGTGCCTTGTACAACACGTGCGGGGACAGCACCCACAGCAAAGAGGCAGGAGAGGTCTGGCACCACAGCCCGTGGTGCAGGGGCCTCTCCTGGGTATTTCCACACCACAGCCCTGGCTCAGCCAGGAGTGCTCAGCCCTCCCTGCCATGATCCCCCGGCCTCAGGGACAACGTGCTCCCCGACTTCTCCATCGCTGCACAACAGAGCAACACATTCATCCTTGCTGGACCTGTCTCCAGCAATAACCATCCACCAGCCCTTCCACTGCCAGCCTCAGCGTTGAGGCACCTCCCAGCACGGAGCCAGTCTCCAGGACACTGGTACCTACGCGGCCACTCTTCTCCATCCCTCCAGCTGCGCTCTGCGGTCCCGCTTCATGCCGTGCATCAGCGATACCCCCAGGAGACGGGGGGTGAGGGCTGTGCAGCACAGCAGCTGTGCCCCCCCTCCCGGGAGACGGCATCCATCAACCGTCAGCACATTCACCCTCTCCTGACCTGGGGATGGCCATTCCCCGGCTGGGCCCAAGCCCAGGCAACGCCGCTTGTCAGCTGGCAGAGCCGGGCGGGAGGGCAGAGGGAGGTAGGGGGAGGACGAGATGCGGCAGAGGAGTCAGGCAGGTCCTTCCACACGGAGGTCTGGCCGGAGGTGCTCTGGATCAGCCCAGGGTGCTCTGGCTCCGGCCAGAGACACGGTGGGTGATTTCGATGTATGCCGTATCGGGGCTGCTTCTATTCCTCTGTGGGCAAATTTATAAATCATGAGCCAAAAAGGCATTTGATTCAATAGAAAGGATGCGATCAGGACTGTGAGACTTCAGAGAAGATCAAAGGTTTAAATACGGTCCCCAGGAGAAATGGGAATTATTTAGGCAGGAAATAATGAGATGAGGTAGGGGGGATGCGGCAGAGGAGTCAGGCAGGTCCTTCCACACGGAGGTCTGGCCGGAGGTGCTCTGGATCAGCCCAGGGTGCTCTGGCTCCGGCCAGAGACACGGTGGGTGATTTCGATGTATGCCGTATCGGGGCTGCTTCTATTCCTCTGTGGGCAAATTTATAAATCATGAGCCAAAAAGGCATTTGATTCAATAGAAAGGATGCGATCAGGACTGTGAGACTTCAGAGAAGATCAAAGGTTTAAATACGGTCCCCAGGAGAAATGGGAATTATTTAGGCAGGAAATAATGAGATGAAATTAAGAAGGTATTTAGGCTGCACATGAGGAAGAAAGGAAGCGAAGCCAAGCGAAGCCCCTTTCCCTGGCACAGCGCTGCATGGGCGGTGGGGGCTTCCTGGGGGGCACCCAGAGCACTTGGAGCGTCCTGCCAGCACCCGCCCTGCCCTGGCCACCCACCACCGCAGGGAGCTCATGCACCTCCAGCTCCACAGATCCCCGCCCCCGATAATTGACAGCATCAACACCATTTCCCTATAAAACTGCCACCACGGGGTAGCTCCCAGGCATCCAAAGGGAAGGAAACCTCTCATCCTCCCTTGGTAGGGAAAATCCTGCCCGAGAGCCTTTCCATCCCACATCCCTGCCTTCGCAGGAGCGCCATGCAAGCCTCTGAAAGGGGCTGTCCCCATGGGGGTCAGGCTGAGAAGAGGGGACTCTGTGAGAGCCAGCCTGAGAAATGACAAAAGGCGGGAGGGGGAAGGGAGAGAAGGGCAGAAAATAGAGAACAAAGTGCCCACAGGCGGTTTAAAGGCCCCTTCGAGTTCATACTTCCAAAGACATTGTCTCCCCCACGGAGACTGTCTTGCAAAGACCCCCCATCCCCTTTGGCACGGCAAGCTGGGCTGCCGGCTCCGCATGCATCACCTCCTCCCGCTCTGCCTGCAGGATTGCAACCCGCAGCATTCACAGCTTGCTCCGTCTCTCACCACCCTCCCTTTTAGCCACGAACAAAGACAGGAGGCTTCGCAGCAGAACGGCCAGACCAGCTGGGTAGGGTTTAACCATCGTGGCCCATATGTGCTGAAATACCCAGACATATTGGGGTTGTGTTTAAAGGAACAGTCCCAGCTTTCATGCAGAAAGTCGTCGCTTTTCCGAAGAGAGCGTGAAGTTTTACCTCAGGCCTTTGCAAAAAGGCTGGGTGGATTTTTAGCAAAATCTCAAAAAGGCAGAATATTTAAAGCAAGAGATATGTAAGTAAGGTTTTCAGAGTATGTAATATCCGAGGAAAATATTTTCTCCATGTTCCTAGCTAAGTCCAAAGTAGGAAGAGCGACCGGAGAAAGCAACTCCTTATCAGCCCCACGCTGTGCAGAAGCACCTCCACTACACAGTAGCTTATGGCGGCTGAAGCACGGTTTGGATGGGAGTTGAGAGTTTGCCTTGGACCTACCATGGACAACTTCCCCGGCTCTCTCTGTGTTAAAAGCCAGAACCCTATCTTGGGTTACAAAGACGGCTTTCTTGTCAGCCCTTGCTCCAATGAGGTTAACAAAAAAGCTGCAGCTACACTGGATTAATTCCAGGCATTTGGTAACAGGAGACAAATCTCACTGATGCGAGGGGAACCTGTGCTTCCTCCCAACATGTGAATCAGCACCATCATTTCAGTGTGTCTGCTTATTTTGAACAACTCTTAAACTACATCTCCTGTGTGTAAGGTGTACTATTTGATACAGGTAAAAAATGAGACAGGAATGATAATGCAACATCATCTGTCACAGCCTGGGAAACCCCAACGCAGGATAAACTGGGAATGAACGGAAAAACACAAATGTGTGCAGAATGGCTGTACTTCCAGGTGTAGTTAGTAAACACAGTGGTCTAAGAAGGTAAAAGAGTGGACAGTGGATACCTCAGAGGAAAGGCAGCAGCATCTTGGACTGAAAGAGGAGGAAGGGGCCGGCACACCCAGCTTGGGTGCTGTACCAGGGCAGCCACGGAGCTGCCATCCCCCGGGGCAGGCCCTTGGCTCTGCCCCCTGCCCCCGTGGGGGAGTGACCCAGCAAAGCCCCATGAAGCTTTCACTCCTCAGGTGGTGGTCTTGTACGCTCAGGGCACCCCCTTGGGCACCCGTGAGGGTCCTGTGACAAAAAGAAACAGCTGTTTATTTGAAAAGAGGTTCAATTTAATGAACAAGGGCTATTATACAACACTTAGGGGACACGGAAAGCAACCAACCATCCTCCATGACAGATAGCAGCTACAACCCCGATGCTTTCTCACACAGTTTTAGGATATGCTCTTTCTCCCCCAGGCAGCGTTCAAGGGTTAAGGATTAGGGTGGGCAATGCAGGCTGTGCTAGGGCAGGAGGACAACCTGCCTAAGTCCTCAGTGGGCATCACGTATAATTCCATCCCCATGTATAGCCTTTTCTGTACGTGGTTGGAAAGGCTCTTTTCAGAGATCGGTACCTTCTTCTCTGTATT